TGATTTAACAGTGGAAGTTCTAATGTTGGTTTATCTCATGTGCACATCGCGTGCCTTTTTCTCGTACCAACTACAAACACCTTCTTAATAAATGACATGAACGTTGTATGAGGCTACTCACCGCAAATCACAACAATTTTTTCTTAATTGGACCTTTTAAGTTGTCCGTTTCCAAATCCACCATTTCATTCCAATAAATTTATATCTACAATCCTATTTTTCCTTAAGATGTATATTTATGAACAAATTAATCCACCACCCCCATTCTTCCATCAAATTTTGATGCTGCTATGGTCCAACGCATCGTCATCGTTAGCGTACCTCCTAACATGGAGTTTAAATTTTGAATACTCTGCTCGGGGTTTGTCCAATCTTGTTCAACATTTGCACTATTAATAATTTATATGTATAACTTTAAATATTGATAAAAATAATGAGTCCTTCGTGTTTTGTAGTCTTTGGGTCATTTTATTTATGGTTTTTTTCTACAATTTGGTTGTTTTATAGTTTTCATTTACAGTTGGGTCTTTGACTGGTCAAATTTGGAAGCCATCTCTTACTGGAATGCATTTAGTTATCCGATTTTCTTCCCCGTCCACATCTTTAAGCAAAAACGCGTATTCGCTATTACCCTGTGGCTTAAACTACTTACAAATTTCTATCAAAAGGTTTTGCGAATTTGACTTGTTTATCATAACAAAAATTAGAATAATATAGGTGATTTCTTTTTAAGTAAATATAGAAACACACTTACCTACCTCCCATCTCTAACATGGGAACGTGACAAAACCTTTATACTTATGTTTGGATTGTTTTTCAATGTGTAATTTTAGTTATTTCTTGTATTGAGAATGTAAAAATATGTATATATATAAAAGAAATCTACATGAGGAGTTATTAATTAATGATTTTAAAAAATTATAAAAAGAATAGCTCCTAAAAAGTTTCTCTTGATCTCTCTTACCAATATCAATGAGATTGACATACTTTCTCGGTCCACCACTTTATGTGTGAATAAAAACAAATCTAGTTGAAATGAGTGTAAATCCTAACTTAAAAGGAAAAAAAATCTATTTTTTCATACATTTGTATAAATTTTTGGCTACATTTTTATTAGCCAAAATTGGTATTCCTTATAGTAATAGTTGTTCTCAAACACTTTCTTCCTGTCTGGCTCCAAAAGGAAAAACAAATTCAGAGCTCTTGAACCACGGCGAAATACATTCATGAATATTACTAAAGAACCAACCTCAGAGGATTAAACGTCATTTGGGTTGGGAACTGGTTGATCATTACTATGCTAGATATGTTTCTCCATCTAAGATCTCTTCCTGATTCTTCCAGCCATTAAGATTTCTTATTAAATATCAAATAACTTCTATTTGTATTGGCACGACGGACCGAGGGAGAGAAATGAAGACGTGGTAAGTATGGGCTGCTGAAAAAGAAAACTAGTAAATACTTAAATGAGGAAGAAGAAGAATGGGAGTTATAGGTTAAGACTAAATTTTACAAATGGTCCATTTGATTTTCTTTATTATGATTTAACATTGGATGTTTTAAATTCAGTTCTTCCCACGTGCACATCGCGTGCTCTTTTCATGTACACTCCAAAACCTTCTGACCAAATGACATGAACATTCTGCGATGTTACTTTTTTTAACACAGATCACAACGATTTCTTAAATGCACCTTTTTAGTTGCTCATTTCAAAATACACCATTTCATCCCAATAACTTTAAATCTACCACCCCATTTTCCCTTTTGATGTTTATTTACAAAACAAATGAATTTACGCCCCATTCTTCCATCAAATTTTGATGTTGCCACAGCTCAACGCATCGTCATTGTTAGCATACCTCCTAAGAAGGGGTTTAAATTAGGCATACTGTGCTCGGGGTTTGTCTAATCTTTTTCAGCATTTACACGGCTAATAATTTATGTGTATAACTTCAAATCTTTGATAAAAATCTCGAGTCCTTCATGTTTTGTAGCCTTTTGGGTCACTTTATTTATGGTTTTTTGCAACAATTCCGATGTTTTATAATTTTCATTTATGGTTGGGTCTTCGATTGGTCAAATTTGGAAGAGATTTCTTGCTGGATTGGGTTCAGCTTATCCAATTTTCTTCCCGTCCATATCTTTCAGCATAAACGCGTATTTGCCATTAATATGTGGCATATACTTTTCAGAAATTTCTCAAAAGATTCTACAAATTTGATTTGTTTATCATAACAAAACCTAGAATAATATAGGTGATTTCTTTTTAAATAAATATAGAAAGACAATTACCAACCTCTCATCTCTAAAATGGGAACTTGACGAAACCTTTACACTTATGTTTGGATTGTTTTTCAATGTGTAATTTTAGTTATTTCTTGTATTGAGAATATAAAAAAAAAATGGTAACCAATAAAGTTTTCCGATGAAAGTTACCAATAATCTTGTCTGCTTTACAAAGTGTATGAATTGGCAAAAACTCCCATTGGATATACTAACATTGAAGACAGTGTTGTTTTAGCTTGTGTAACTCTACCGGACAAATAAAGTATCCTGGTTTTCCAATATGCAAAGTTGTTGCTAATCTTGGTTGTAAAATCTTGGAATATAGCTGTCTTATTCTGTGTAAAATCCAACAACATTCCCAGGTATTTGCTTTGAAAGTTACCTCTTGGAATATATAGAGTAGGATGGATCACTGTTTGCACGTCTTGAGAAGTATTTGCACTAATAAGGTTGGAAGATTTCTGTAGATCTATCTTTTGACCGGAGAAGATCGTGTAGTTTTCCAAAAGACCTACAAGAGCTTGCACTGCCTCTTCCTTGCATTAAATAAAGAAAAGACTATCATCTGCATACATTAAATGGCTTACTCTTGGTGCTTGACGACTGATTTTAACACCAAGACCAGAGAAAGTTTGAATTTCTGAATTGATTGCAGATGACATTACTTGTTGGTACAATATAAAGAGATATGGAGATAAGGGGCAACCTTGACGTAATCTTTTATTTGGAACAAAAGGAGGGAGACTTTCACCATTGAAAAGGATAGAATAAGACACTGCAGAAATACAGTGCATTATCAGTGTGATCAGTCTTGGAGGAATTCATGTTTGTTAAAGAACTACTTGTAAAAATGGCCATGACACACGATCATACGCTTTGCTCGTGTCAAGTTTAATTGCCGCCATTCCTACGTCCCGTTTTCTTTGACAAATGCACTAAATAATTTCATGAGCAATGAGTATATTTTCACTAATATTCCTTTCGGGAACAAAACCATTCTGATGTTCAACTATCAAAGATTTCATTACCTGTTTGAGGGTGGTTCGTAATCATTTTAGTAATAATTTTGTACTTGACATTACATAAGCTGATTTGCTGGAAATCATTGGGCGTTTTTGGAGAAGCATCTTGGGAGATCAATGCCAAATGAATCTCATTCCATTCAGGAGGAAAGGACATAGTCTGAAAACTTCTAGAATACATGTTTCCACCTCAGAGCCAATAATATCTTCGTAGTGTTGATAAAATCCTGGTGGCATTCCATCACGTCCTGGTGATTTTCATGGTGACATCTGATTAATAGCCTTCCAGAATTCTGCATGTGTAAATGGAGTATCTAGATATGCAATATGTTTTTGTGTTAGGGTTTCATCTACATTTTGGAGTAGAGACTGGAAGAAAGAGGAGTCCAAAGAAGATTCGGTGTTGTCCTCTATTGACATATAAATTGCGGAAAAATGATTTTGTAATAGGGTACTGATTTAATTGGAATCTTGTATCCATTGCCCCTAATCATCACATAGTTCATTTATCCACTTGTTACCTTTTCTTTTTGCTGCCCATCTGTGAAAGAACTTAGTATTTCTATCTCCTAAATTTGACCGATCCACTTTTGATCTTTGATGCAAATATTGTTGCTGAAGGAGTAGTGCATCTTCTAGTTCTGTCCTTTGTTGTTTCAGTCTTGCAATCAACTGTAGGTCAGTGCGATTTGCCTCCCATTGTGCTTGAACTTGTGCTAATTTGTCAGTCAACTTGAAAAACCAAAGAATCCAATTGGCCAAATTTTGTTTTACTCTATTGGTGCTACTGGGAAAAAGTTTTGTGGAGTTAAAAGGAGATATTTTCGTGAGGGTCCACAATATGTAGACAAGGAGGAGACCAAGCTTGTGAGACTAAGGGTTTTGAACTAGGGCAACTAGACCAAAATTGCTCAAACTTTTGTTTCCTTTTTGGATTTCTTTTTTGCTTAATGTCTACTAATATTGGACCATGATCAGAAGACATTATTGGTAAGTTTATTTTCTACGCCAAGGTTTATTAACAAAGGCTCGATCTAACCTTTCAAAGATCGCATTTGATCCTTGGTGATTATTGGTCCAGGTGTACCAACAACCTAAATGCTTGAGCTCCTCCAAATCATTCACTGTTAGGAAGTGATGAATACTCCTAGTGCTTGGGGTCTAACTAATTGACTTCCATGCTTGTCTTCTTGGTCTACAACCTGATTAAAGTCACCTAATAAAATGCTACGATAGGTAAACCCTTGGATGATACCATTTAGTCGAGACCAAAATCTGGGCCGATCCTATTGATCAGGAGGACCATACAGAAAAATGGCCATCCAAACTAGGCCAGATGCTTATGAGATCTTAGCAACTATCACATTAGCATCTTGAAGTACTACTAATAATTTAATACCATATAACCAAAATAGACAATCCACCACAGCTACGTACTGGGTCTACTAAACAAGTGTCTTTTAAAGCAGATGATTGGAGCAAAGCACAAACTACAGAAGAGTTGGCTTTGGTCTCCTTCACAAACGCAATAGTAGGTTTATAATTTCTAGCTAGTCTATTTAACATAGTTCTATATGAGGCATTATTCATACCCCGACAATTCAAATTAATAATACTCATATCAACAGAGGGATTTGATGGTTCAACTCCCGCAACACCATACAGATAGTTAGCTTCACTGCCATTCCTAACCTAAAAGTCTTGATCATGTTGAATTGCCTTGTTGGCTCCGGAGCAAGCTCTCTTTTTCTCAAGCCTTCCCTGTCCTTTTTGAGAGTGATCAGAAGACCTTTTCCTGCTATGAATGGAATCATCAGAGGAATCATCAGAGTCACTGGAATAATCTATGTCAACCTTCATACGCCAGGCAGAGATCTATTGTTGGGCTAGCTGTTGAGAGGGTTCCTTGAAGATCCCTAACTTTCTGGCCTTCTTCAGTTTCTTCCTTAGCTTGTGGTGAAAATCTGGCTAGTCACATTCAAAAGCGTCCCTCCTGAGTTTCATCCAGCAGCGATCCCTTTTAGTGTCAGCTATTGGAGACTCCTTTTTTTGCTGCTTCATGACAGAGGAGGTTTGGCTGCGTCTCTATTTTCATACTTCTTGAAAGTCCTTTTGCCAACTTTCAGAACTGTAGTAGCCCCTATCCTTGAATCAACAGATTTATCAGTAGAGAAAACAGGTACAGAAGACCGATATGCACATGTAATACTTCTACTACAATCCCTTCTGTGCTGTGCATTAATATTATCAGACTCAACAACACTCGAGTAGATACCATGAAATACAGAAATAGGGAATACATATGCATTGGGGTAATCAGGCACATTTGGGATGACATTATCCGGGACATAATCAGAAACATCTAACATAGCAACAGAGGGGGAAACATTTGGTATATCATAAAATGAATCAGGCATGTGAAACAATCTTTCAGCATCATTAATGTAATCATTAGCTAACAACTCAGACCTTTCAGAAGTGGCAATCGAGAGTGAATGAAGTGAGTGAAAACTACCTTCCTGAGAATTCGGTGAATCTGAATCGGGACCTTCTGCAGTAGTAGGGGTAGCCATCCTGGAGGGATCAAAGGCAACATCAGCGTAGAGATCAGCTCTCCTGTCTACAAGAATGGGAGGGCCATCATCATGATAGAAGTTGTTCGCATTAATATCCGCCATGAATTGATTATCTAGTGCATCATCACCATCTTGGTCACCATTATCATCATCTTCATCCCCATCAGAGTCATCCTGGTCTCTATCATCATCATTATCATCAGCATCACCTCCTCCAGGGTTGTGAGGAGGAGACCATGGGACAGGTTCTGTCTCCTCCACTTTCTATGCACTTAATCGTGACTGTGGGATAAGCCTAAAGTGAGATATAATTGAATGAGTTTGATATAAATATGCCATGAAATGTTGTGTTTGATTCACTCATACTTATATGATTTGTAAGTGGAACCCATCCTGTTGTGAAGGAAAAGTAAGGCATTAACCCAATATCAGTCTTAAAAAAATATTTTAACTTTGGCACTTTGTGTTAATTAAGTTTGGGGGAGGGGTGTTGGCAGATACTTCCGAGGTTAGGTTAAATTTATTGAGGGAGAAAAGAAAGAGTATTCCATGTTAATGCTATCCCATTAAGAGGTGAGGAATTGGCAACCATGACTGGAGAGTCCTCAGGCCCGGTGAGGAAAAATAGATATGCAGACTGCCCTAAGTGTTTGAGCCACTATGCAAAGGAGTGGAAAAATGCTCTGGATAGGGGCCTGAGTTGGAAAGAATCCTGAAGAAAAGCCACATGAATTGAAGAAAGGGTTATGAGGGAGAATAGGTTGTCTATGAGATAAGTCCTTATACTTCATATTATGTTTGGAGGTCCATTGCATTGAAATATGATGTGAAACGGGAGTCTGTTCTTAAAGTAAATTGGCATATTTGCAGTAGAGCTTATGTTTTCTGTATTGAATGTAAAGTGAAGTCCCTAACAAGCGAAACGCACACACACACAAGCGTGGGGGCTAAAACTGCATATTGTTTGCATATTGTTAGGGAGTCCTTACTAGAGATAGTCGAAATCTTTGTGTTACATGATATTAAATCTCTGAGTCAGCTAAAGTAAATTTGTTTGGTTGTGTGTTTTAATCCTTGGGAATGCTTGAGGACAAGCAATAATTCACGTTTGGGGTTATTTAATAAGTGCTAAATTAAATATATTTTTATGCTCTTATTCGTTTTGAATAAAAATTTATATCTTCGAGTTGAATTTGGTGCTTAATTTAATTAATTGAAGACTTTACCAAACAATGAACTCTAGACCTCTAGGTTTTGGTGGGGCGAGAAGCTTCCTGCACCTTGGTTGATTTTTGCGCTGATAAATTAAATGATCTAGGCCTCTTTCTAGAGCCCAAATACAACAAACATGGTCTGGTGCTGAAAAATAGACAAAAGGGGCTTGTTTTTATTTAATAAAGCCCAAGTCTTCTTCTTTTGTTTTTGGTGGAACTTCCTAATTATTTTGGTTGCTCCTTGCTGCGGAAGAAACCGAAGAAAAGCTTGAGGCGGTGCAGAATTTTGCTTAGATTTCGGCTGAAATTTTGCTTCCAATTAATTTGGGAGATAGTCTCTCTTAATCTCCAAGACATCGTGGGTTTAAAATACTATAAAAGGACTTAGTTTTCTTCTAAAAAAAATGAACCCGGCGGCAGCCCCGAACCCCACACTTAAACCCTTCACCATCATCACCGCCCTACACCACCTCACCACCGAATCACCCTCCCCTTCATCACCTTCCACGCACACAACCTTTGAGCCCTTTTCCGAGACACCAAACCCACACATCCATCACCTTATTCCACCCTCATCAACCACGCACCGTCATCAGGGAAAGAAGTCAGCACCAACGAAGCCAATACAAGCTTTTGGGCTCGGCCTTTGCAACTCGTCTTCGTCCCGGGTTTGATTTTTTTATTTATTTTTGAGATGATGTGTAGCTAAACTATTTCTAATCTAGGGTTTAAGATGTAGGCGCCGTACTATTTAATTTAATTTAATTTATGATTGTGACTTTTACATTAGTTGATATTTAATATTTTTAGTTTTATTCTGTGTGAGTATTTGATCACCACTTGCATGTTTTAAGGTGTTTAACTGAAGGAACGACGGTTGAAGGTTAACACTAGTTCATGGAAATATTAGACTTAGGTAGTGACGCACGACAGTAGGAACACCGCCTTTGCAACTGGAGAATCTAAAGTTCTTAATGCGCTTTTATTAATCCTTATTGTCACGGCAGTAGTCATAGTGTTAATTTAGCTAAGATAATTATATCATGACAGTGAATAGTTCTTATTTTTGTGAATCGTTGTGAAATTAGTGAAAGTCCGAAATCACATATCTATAGATTGAATTAAACTGAATAGACGGTAGGTGAATCCTATGCCCTAGGTTTTCTTTTATTTAATTCTTTAGATATTTAGTTAATTGAATTGTTAGTTCTAGGTTTAGCTTAGTCTAAAATTGGTAAATTGTTAATCTAAATAATAATAAGAAATAGTTTTGACCTGGTACTTGGTAACCTTCTCTGTGGGATCAACCATGCTTGCTACTTTACTGCTAGTAAGGGTATTAAGTAGGTAATTTATATTTGACTAGTGTGACAACGGATTATCAAATTTGGCGCCATTGCCAGGAAGGAAATAACCATATCGAAACTACATTATTTCTTTGATTAATTTAGATTGTAGATATTGTCCTATGTTTTATTAATTTTTTAATTCTGTTTTCTTTTTTGTGTCAACATTTCTGGACGATTTTTTTTTTATCATGGAGAATTTTAACTATGGATATGGAGAAACTCCGTATTATGGTTATAATTCTGAATATGGAGACTATCCTACGTATCAAGATGATCCCTATTCTTGGCACAAATTCTCTCATGATCCTCTCTATGGTTGTGATTATCAGAAATATTCATCTAATGCAGGGTACAATTCTGGTTTTGAGAGTCCCCATATAATTTCTGATATGTTGTCTCGTTTGGAGAGAAATGAAAAATTGTTGATTGACAAAAATAAGAATAATGGTTCAACTTTCTATCCAGATGATTGTTACCACTCAAATGCATCAGTCTATCAACCACCACCTCCTCAACCCACTCTTAGAGAGTTAGCAGCTCGTTAACCTACTCTAAGAGAACTAGCAACCTTCAAGTCATCACCTTGTCAACCCACTTTGAGAGAGTTAGCATTCTTGTATCAGAAGCCACCTGCTCAACCTCAACTTACTATTAGAGAGGGAGCTCTTCAAGTATTGCAAAGTGAAAAAGGCCAACAACTTATTAAAGAGGTCAACAAATATAGGTTGAGTGTAGGATTGCCAGAACATGATCCTATAAGAAATTTGCTTAAAATGAATAAGAATGAGAATATTTCTAAAGATAATACGTTGATCCAGTCTCCCAGCTACCATCTCAAACTGAGGTTCAATGTGAAGAATTGCAAGAGACCGAAGAGATTACAAGTGTAGATATTACTGTTGTCTTGATTCTTGCGGAGTATATATTGTAGTGATGCATGATTCGCTCATTTTGAGAGTTGGTAACAAAGATGTTGATCAAGTTGATTACGATACAATTTTCCTATAGTTTCAAAAGAGGGGTTTCCTGTAGAAAAATGTGGTGAGTTTGGCTCTAACCAAGGTGATCTTGAGGACGACGCGAAAGATGGTTCAGTGAAAGCCCAAGAAGAGGATCAATGGTACAAGATTGAATTTGAGAAAGAGGATGTAGTGGTCCTGGAATACAAGTTTATATTTGCTCATTGAAAGGAGAACCACTATAAGAGATTCATCAATAATGTTGAACTTGGTTTCTTCTGGTACCGAGCTGGGTACTCTGACTGATCAAGCATAGAGTCCGGCTAGAGACTTTAAAACAACACTTATTGGGCGGCAACCCAACTTTAATTTTGCTTTATTTTATTTTTCTTAAGTTTGCAAATAAGTTGATGGTTAAGTTTTTCGTTCCTGATTTTCTTCAAATCTTTGATTTCAGAATTTTCGTGGTTTTTCTTAATCATCTATCTGATATAAGTTAGGATTTTTTTTTTTAGGTCGGCAGCTACTCTGGAACAAATAGTGATGGAATGTGCTTGGATGGTAGTGCAACAGCTCTTTTTATTCTTCATCTATAACAATTTCGATCCTCCACTTCACATTCCCAAGTTGTGTCGTTTCTTTTTATTTTTTTATTTTATTTATGTTTTCGCTTTTCTTTTCGCTTGGGTGCTTTGTCTTTTATGTCTTATATTTTGAGGGCAATGTATACTTTATGTGTGGGGGAGGAATTTGTATTTTTTCGTGTCTATTTCGAAAAAAATAAAGCCAAAAACAAATTGAAAAAATAAGAAATCCAAAAAAAAGCCTAGGATGAGTATGGTTTAAATATCTATACCATGTAAGAATTATACTATTTTGAATTGTGTTCCCTAGCTTATGTATTTCTATATGTTGCTTTTAATATAGCTGCTTTCTATGCACTTTATCGTGACTGTGGGATAAGCCTAAAGTGAGATATAGTTGCATGAGTTTGATGTAAATATGCCATGAAATGATGTGTTTGATTCACTCACACTTATATGATTTGTAAGTGGAACCCACCTTGTTGTGAAGGAAAAGTAAGGCATTAACTCAATATCAGTCTTAAAAAAATATTTTTACTTTGGCACTTTGTGTTAAGTAAATTTGGGGGAGGGTTGTTGGCGGATGCTTCCGAGGTTAGGTTAAATTTATTGAGGGAGAAAAGGAAGAGCATTCCATATTAATGCTATCCCATTAAGAGGTGAGGAATTGGCAACCATGACTGGAGAGACCTCAGGCCCGGTGAGGATAAATAGATATGTAAACTATCCCAAGTTGTTGAGCCACTATGCAGAGGAGTGGAAAAATGCTTTGGGTAGGGGCCTGAGTTGGAAAGAATCCTGAAAAAAAAGCCACATGGATCGAAGAAAGGGTTACGAGGAAGAATAGGTTGTCTGTGAGATAAGTCCTTCTACTTCATATTATATAGGGAGGTCCATTGCATTGATATATGGTGTAAAATGTGAGTATGTTCTTAAAGTAAATTGGCATATTTGCAGCAGAGCTTGTGTTTTCTGTATTGAATGTAAAGTGAAGTCCCTAACAAGCGAAACGCGCACACACACAAGTGTGGGGGCCAAAAATGCATATGGTTTGCATATTGTTAGGAAGTCCATACTAGAGATAGTTGAAATCTTTGTGTTACAAGATGTTAAATCTCTGAGCCCGCTAAAATAAATTTGTCTGGTTGTGTGTTTTAATCCTTGGGAATGCTTGAGAACTAGCAATAATTCAAGTTTGGGTGTATTTGATAAGTGCTAAATTAAATACTCCCTCCGTCCCATAATTATTGTCCAGTTTTACTAAAATGAAAGTTTTTATTTTTAGTCAAACTTAACTATATTTTACCTTGAACAACCGGATATACCCCTACATAAGTAATTATTTAACCACAAAGATTTTAATGGATAATATTTTTTACTAAGGACAAATGTGTAACATGATCCATAAAATGTGTAACTTGATCCATAAAACAGTCAAATTGGATAATAATTTTGGGACAAAATTTTTTGGGCAAAGTGGACAATGATTATGGGACGGAGGGAGTATATTTTTATGCTCTTATTCGTAGTGTTTTGAATAAAAATTTATATCTTCGAGTTGAATTTGGTACTTAATTTAATTAATAATGACGGGCAGGAAACAAATTCTTTACCTAAAGATTAAATGATAAATTATTGAAGTTTAGACTTAATTGAAGATTTAAAGAGTGAAAGAGGATGAAAGTTGTTGAGTTGAAGACTTGGAGGACCAAACAATGAACTCTGGACCTCTTGGTTTTGGTGGGCCGAGAAGCTTCCTGCACTTTGGTTGATTTGTGGGCTGAAGAATTACAACAACATGGGCTGGTGCTGAAAAATAGACAAAAGGGGCTTGTTTTTATTTAATAAAGCCCAAGTCTTCTTCTTTTGTTTTTGGTGGAACTTCAGAATTATTTTGGCTGCTCCTTGCTGCGGAAGAAACCGAAGAAAAGCTCGAGGCGGTGCAGAATTTTGCTTGGATTTCGGCTTAAATTTTGCTCTCAATTAATTTGGGAAATAGTCTTTCTTAATCTCCAAGACATCGTGGGTTCAAAATACTATAAAAGGACTTAGTTTTCTTCTAAAAAAACTGAACCCGGCGGCAGCCCCAAACCCCACACTTAAACCCTTCACCATCATCACCGCCCTACACCACCTCACCACCGAATCACCCTTCCCTTCATCACCTTCCATGCACACAACCTTTGAGCCCTTTTCCGAGACCCCATACCCATACATCCATCACCTTATTCCACCCTCATCAACCACGCACCATCATCAGGGAAAGAAGTCAGCACCAACGAAGCCAACGAAGCTTTTGGTCTCGGCCTTTGTTGGAAGTGCAACTTCACTTGGGCCAACAACCATTCATGGGTCCGATAAATATTCCTTTCTGGCTTATTGGGCCGGCTAAAAGCCCTAACAATGGCCCAAGTCCATCATTGAAAGGAATATTCTCTAAGAATATTCCTTTCACCTTATCTATATATACCCCATTTTTGGTGGTGAAGAGTAAGCTCATTTTCACTCCCTTCCTAGCTCACATGCTTTATTTCTATAACTCCTTGGACTGACTTGCTCGTCGGAGTGCTAACCCTTGTTTTGCAGGTCTCAGGTCCATAGACACTGTTGACCCTCGTCCTAACGGATTTCGCCTTCGACAAGTGGCGCCATCTATGGGAACCTATATTCTTGATTGAAGGCTTGAATTCATGGTCTTGGTGTTTATAGATCTTGCCTAAGAAAAAGGGATTGTGAGCTGCAAACGTGGGTTTCTAAATCTCACTTACCATTTTGGTTTTTGGGAGTTTGAGTTGGATCCTTAAAGGTTAATCGGGCAAGCTCTTGGGCAAAAACCCTTCTATCTACATAAAGAGAGTAGAGCTTTCTGGGGCAGGGTTGTTGACCTCCTTGTTTCAATTTTAATTAAATCTAATCAAACCCCATTCGTGAGGAGTTTTGCCCTTTGAGCTCCTGGGCGTGGGTTCGGCCTTTTTCTTTCCTTTTTCGTGAAGGCCAAGATTGACGTCCACGGCCAAATCATGTCAGCTTTCACCATCATCAAACCTGAAGCCATCGTTGGTAGCACCGGTTTCAGGTCCGTGGGCGTTCCTGCCAACAGCCGGAGTTCCCGTCGAAGGCGGCAGCAGCATCGCACTCAAGAAAAAAAGCTCACGTTCGTCCATGGCAGCCGCGGCCCAATCCGGGGTCAGTCATAAAGCAAGATCTAAGTCGGAAGTCGCCTCGAACATTAACCGTCGGCCAAAGCTTGGTCTCAAAGCAACACTGGCCACAAAAGTGGCGTCCTCAAAAACAAGTCGCGTCCGATTTCCGTCCCCGACGTCAGGCGGCAGCCTTCTCGAAGCGAAACTCGGATTCTGCCTCCCATGATTCGTCTTCGTCTTCGTCTTCGTCTTCGTCTTCATCTTCGTCCTCGTCTTCGTCTCTTTGAAACCGCAAAACAGCGGCAACCAAATTCGACATCAGAAAGTTGAAGTCATCATCACTACAAGTTTCTTGGGTTAATGAAGAAGACAAAGCTTCCAATGATGCTGTCCCACAAAAAGTCACAGAGGAGAGGGGAAGCAGCAGGCAAAACAGAGGCCGAAGCTTCATCCCCAAAACCCCAGCAGCCGTCTTCGGTTGTCAGTAACCGAGCTTTCGCCGTTGTCCACAAACCGAAGCCACCTTCGACAATGCGTTTCACCTTTGGGCAACTTCGCTGTCGGCGGTCTGCTTCACCCGCGGACGGCTTCATCCTCGGTGTCCATCGGTTCTTGGTTTGGCTTCGGCTTCCGCATTCGGTTACCGCATTGGGGTTCAAAGCTTCAGCACCGTCGATTCCTCAACCTCCATGATCTTCAGCAACAGGCTGCGGTAGTCGTCTTTGGCAGCGGTGGTGGCCGTCCTTTGAAATTTAGCCGACTTCATGAAGGAAGTCGACCTCCAAGCTTCAAGAAAACTGAAAGCTCCAAGTTGCGGGACGAAGAAGACAAAGCGAAAGAGACGGGACCAGATTTCGGGCGGGAAAGGACGTCAAATTGCAGTGGGAGTCATCGGAGTTCGTGGTGGTCGACTTCGTTCCATCATCGGCAACTAATCTTCGGACTTCTCAAATCAAAACGGGGAAGAAGGCACCGTCGACTGTCAACCTCCATCCCGGAGGACGACCCGAAGGCGGCGTTGTCGAGAATCGAACTTCAAGGCTTCAACCACGTTGGAAGTTGCCGACCACGCAACTTCTTCTCCCGTGCATCAAGCTCAAACTTGAAGAAGACACAGGCGGAAAAGCCGACCATGCATCAAGCTTTGACCAGGAAGAAAGTTTCGGGCGGGAAAAAGGGCCAGAATTGCAGAAAATTCAAAACTTTGCAATTAGGTCCCTGTTATTTTAGTTATTTACAAATCGTCCCCAAAAGGTAAAAAATTTACAAATCAGCCCCAAAAGTTCAAAAATGACCAAATCGACCCTAAAGTTTGAAAATGAGACAATCAGACCCCTGACGAAGATTTGGAGGTCCATCTGGGAGCTTTACAAGCCAAATGCAAGGATCTTGGGCATCATTTGGAACTCTCCAAGGTTATTGCTAGGCTATAGACCTATGCAACTACAAAGATAAGTGTTCTTAACCACTTTATCACCAATTGATGGTTTATTTTCTTAAATAATTTTATTTGGGGGGAGGAGTTGGGTATGTGATTATACATATTTCCTCCTTGCTAATTGATTATGCATTTATCAATGCTTAAAGTGACATCGCCAATATAAATACACCATTATGGCATGACATATAGAGAATAGAGCTATCATGGTTCATACACTCTTTGTGCTTTCGAATGCGGTTCGTACTTGACTATGTGCTATGCACCCCCTTACTCTCGGAAATATGAGGAAAAGGAAATAAAACTATTTAAGAAAATATATACTTGTTCTTGGGTAATATATCTATGCTTGGTGGTTTGAAAAGGTGGATTGTCTTTGAAAATTCGGTCCGAAGACGATCTACCCTTCACGTGGAAAAACCATTCTGAAAATTAGATATAATATCCTTTCCAAAGTTTTGAGTTATTGAACGGGTGGCACGTCTTTTATCTTGAACACTCGCATTCGTGTTGTAAATAAAGATGTAATCCTGCTCTCGAAACTTTGTTAACAAGTGTACGGGGTTAGTATATTTCACATTCTTAATTGCCTTTGTGTGTATTAAGAACAAAGGAATATCCCCTTTGCAAAATCTGGACGCCATGCAAGGCTTCACAAATCCGAGGACGTCCACATGTCCGAGGATGCCATCTCAGTCCGTGGATGCCTACATGTCCGAAGATGAAGGCTCATCAGTCCGAGGACGAAGGCGCCAGAAAGTTAGCGAAGCCCGTCTCGATCCCCGTGGTCGACGGCACCGTGTGGCCTCCACGGCCTACGGCACTCCTACGGCCTCCGCGGTCTGGGAGCTTTTATAAGCCCGTCTCGATCCCTCCGCGGCCTACGGTACTCCTATGGCCTCCGCGGTCTTGGAGCTTTTACAAGTTCGTCTTGACCCCGTGGTCGAAGGCACCGTGTGGCCTCCACGGCCTACGGCACTCCTACGGCCTCCGCGGTCTTGGAGCTTTTATAAGTCCGTCTCGATTCCCGTGGTCGATGGCACCGGGTGGCTTCCGCGGCCTATGGTACTCCTATAGCCTCCATAGGCCTTGATGCATTGAAACATGTCTTGCCTTCCAGAAGGCACGAGTTCAAAGGCAGATGCTACTTGACAGCCTGGAGGTGCTAGAGAGTCAGTTAGACTTGGAGTTACACGCTTCTACACGGTGTCGAAGGCAGATGCTACTTCCGGGGACGATGGCCCGATACTGCCACACTTAATCAGGTACATGACATCTTTCTAAGATCTTTTGTGAACGTACCATGTTTTTTTTGAAGATCTAGCATACATGTGAATTGTGCCAACTCAAATACTATAATGATAAAACCCATCTAGCCCCAGATTTGGCTGATGGGCACTAATTACTCCTTGAAACCATGTCGGTAAGCTTGTGGGTACGAAACTCATATGGTCTTGGTTTGCCTTAGGGTTAGAAGCTCACGTGGCATTGATCAACCTTCGAGCTTCACACTCGTATGGGTTTGACTTGCCTTCAAGTTGAGCACTTACACGGTGTCGATTAGACTTGGAGTTACACGCTTCTACAGTTTAGATCCACCTTTGAGTCAACAACCCCTTACGGCATCGGCCATCTTTTGAGTTTTATGCCCAATAAGCTTTCGTTCGCTTATGGGTTACTTACACCCGTAGTCTCGATCAGCCCTAGACTCGGCCTAACTTCGTCCGTGAAATCCTTCTGCTTCCTTCCTAAGCAGGGGGGAGGGGAGGGCTCCTAAGGTGGACGATGTTGCTTTTTATCATAGCCTACCTGGGCAACAAGCATCAAGGCTGGGGGGGAGGGGCAAAGAAGTTTAAATAACACCTTTACTTCAAAATCCTCTCAAACTTTTTTCTATTATCATCTCAAATATAATAACTTTTCATTTACTCATGTTCATCCAATCGAATGGAAACACGACAAACGGCATAAGTCATACGGCTTCGACTAGCCTTAGGGTTAAAAACTCACATAGCGTCTGTCAACCTTTGACCTCTATAATCATACGATCCTAACTCGGCTTCGAATTATACGCTCTTACAATTTTGACCACCCTGAGTTAACAACCCTCACGGCCTCAATCAAGACTCTTTATCTCATAGTCTCTCGACTCTGGCTCTATCTTGAGAAAGGTACACACACGTACTTGATCAGCCTAGGGGTCGTACAAACTCTGTATTGGCTAAACACGGCCAAGGGACATTAATCCCCTACGTAACTCCAATCAAGTAATTAGCCAACCATACTCAAACACACATCTTATCTATGGAAGCAAGCTTATCCCAACAAGTACGCCGTCGACCCCTGTGGCCGATGGTGCTCTTGCGCCCCCTGGGCCGCGGAGCTCTCTTAAAATTGTGCCGACCCCCATGGTTGATAGCCCCTATTGCTCTTTGGGCTTACAACATGCAATTCAAAGCTGGCAGAGGTTTTACTTTGGAAGGTGTCAAGATGATAATGCAAGCAATCTTTTTTTTTCCATACCATGAAATTGAGTATGCATTCTATAATTGATAGGCATTTGATCTTCTATACTTCAGGCTGCTGGAATTTCTAAGAAACTTCCCCAGCTGTCGGGATCCCAGTGAGTCATCACTGCAGAAACAGGTCTTTCGAAGGTTTTTAGGCTAATGTGCAACAACTCAAACTTTAAATTGCCAATTCGGTTGTCTTCTCAATGTGCAAACCTAAATTTAAAGTTAGGTTGATACTCCCCCCCCCCCCCAAAACAGATTTTCTTTAGAAGGGCCAAGAGAGATTTTTTGTTATCTTTTGATGTGCATTACCGTGTAAATTGCTCAATTTATAGGCTGGTTATTTTGCTCAAGAGGAATATGCAATAGATGTCCATGTCCAAGGTCTATTCATGTGCATAGTTCCTAAGTAGCTAACTCCGGAGGTTGTTAAGATAACAAAAAATTTGAAGCGGCTCAAGGGTAACAACAAGTTGCAATTGGAGAGGATAACTAGGTGTTGCCTTGAGGCTAAGGAGGAGAAGATGTTATGCATCATAAGGCAATAATTCAAATATGGTAAGAAAGTTATTATCTTTTTCTTGATTTCTTGCATTCACAGGTCAAGCAAATATAGATGATTTAGGCCTTGCGTTAGCACGTCTTTCTTACATTTAAGTTTTGCATTTTGGTGCATACATACTGATTGAAGTCAAGATGCTATGACAATCAATTTGGTATACTTATGGAGGAACAACATGTGAATCCACAAGTATTTGGTGAACACAATGCTTTTATTCTTTTTTTCTTGTTGATAACATTATGGACTTTCTTAACTTAATGTTTTGTTGTTCTATCTTTCCTGTTGATAACTTTACGGACTTTCTTATCTTAATGTTTCGTTGTTTTGTATTTCCTGTTGATAATTATGGCCTTTCTTAGCTTGATGTTTCATTGTTCCAAATCAAATTAATGAATTAATTGCCATATATTTACCTATGTTCATTTTCCGTGGATGGCAGATCATTGTTGCTGAATTTCAAAAGCCGAATGATGGTCTGACCGGGAAGAATGTGCTGATCGTATAATTGGTAGCTTATGGAAGCCTGAGAAGAAGTTCTAGCACAGTGTTGATGTTACTGTTAGAGGTGATCATGCCTTAAGTAGTTTGTTTTTGGATTGACATATTATGTTGTCTAGACTCTTAGAGACATCTGTTAGTAATTAGAGAGTAGAGATTGAAAAATGTTGATGTCGCAACTTATGAGAATTTTGTATTGTTGATGTTGATTCAGTACTGAATGAACGATTATGATTTAAAAACTTTATTATTTTTTAAAAAATTAATAATAAAATAATTCCAGCATCATTTAGGACGCCTATCCCAACAGAAAACATTTAAAACATTCCTTTTATGAGGACGTATGATAAGCGTCCCAAAAAAAACCTTCCAAGTATTGAACACTTTAATGCGTCCCGATAAAGGTAGCTTAGGGGACGTATACAAGCATCTTCTAAAATCCGAAAGGTTGTGATGCATTAAAACGTCTCAATAATATGGGGTAATGAGTTGGTTTTAAGAGTCTTATTAAAAACTAACATTTATGTCCTTTAAAACCGTCTTAAAAACGCAAGTTGACTTGGACAATATTTAATGGCACGCTTAATAGTTTAAGGACAATTTTATGTTTCCTTATAACTTTTTGGGACGGCCACCACAGGACATATTCCCAAGCATCCCAAAATTGTAAACATTCTTATAGGTGGCCTAATGGGACGCTTTGCTGCGTTCTTAATTGAACTTTTTGTTGTAGTGACTTCCAGCAACTCAGCCTCCAATATGCAACACAACCAATTTAGTAAGCCACTACACCTACTTTAAGCAATGTTTTCTCTTCGTCCTAATAGAGGTAGAACAGGGACAAAATGTATTGTGAATGCGGACAATGCCAATCACTTGATATAGTATTTGTAATGTTTTTACACAATTCAATGTAGAGGATTAAGAGTTAATCCTTTTGCCATATGTACTAAATAATCATATATTATTGAAAGGGAAACTATTAAGTATCTTTTGTTATGAAACATTTTAGTGGTGTTTTATTTTTCAGCGTTGTAAGG